CCCCAAAACCCCAAAACCCCAAAACCCCGTTAACAAAAATTATATTTTAAATAGATCATTGAAGTAAATTTTATTTAAAATTGAGCACTAATAATATTAGTTTTCATCTTTTTGGAGTTCTTTCCATTTAATTACTTAATATCAAGAGCTTACTCTCTTTAATTTCAATTCTGTTAAAGTTCAAAAGCAAAGTTGAGATGCAGCTTATAAATGATAGTATGCCAAAAACTTAAAAAGGTAATGGATCTTTCAATTAAGCTACTAATGGGGCACCCATAGTTATTCCTCTGGCAAAAATGTTGCAAATTGAAAATAGAGTTGATTTAATCTCAGCTGGAAATAAAATGTTTGAACAGATAAGGGTAAGTGTAAAGGCTGGGCATATGCCAAGTCTCCCTATAAATACCAAAATTGAAACAAATGCAGCTGATTTAACTGGTACTGTAATATATAAAATAGATGAAAGACAACAGAGCAAGAAAAATAATACAAATGATGACTTAACTCCCATTCTGTTTATTATATGTGCTGATACACCATAAGAGACTATCTATCCGAGTGATTATAAGAAATTGTTCATGTTTATATCGCCTTCAATATTCGATAGGTAGAAATTCATAAGGAAAAAGCTGAAAGTAACATTGGTCCAAAGAATTGCCATAATTATCAAATTTTTTACAAAAGTGGAATATCCCATGTAGCTTTTGAGAATTACCTCAATATTTTTATCTGATGATATGGACGAGGTTGGTTCTTCAATCTCAAAATTATCATTACTTTAGAGGGTAGTTTTGTTGAAATCAGCTATTTCAAGTAAAATTGCTTTAGCATCTAAGAATTTCCCTTTAGATGCTAAGTATCTTGGAGATTCTTTTATCCATAATACCATCACAGAAGAAATAAGACTTATAATGGTTCCAATATAAATCATAGGCTCCCATCTATTACCAATATACATGAAATATAGAGGACCACATATAGCAGCTAATCCTTCTCCCATTTAAGCAATTGTAATAGATATTGTTTCATGCCTTTTCATCACTATCTCCATTATGTAAACATATCCCACACATGGGTTAATTGCTCCCACTAGTCCCATCAGAAACATTAGAATATAAAATGTGGAGAGGTCGTTAGCGATTAAAAATGCACCTTAAACTATTGTGCCTGCGAAAGCATTTAAGTATAGAAGTGGCTTTCTGCCATACTTATCACTGAATGGAA